GAGAAGAGAGATGAACGAGAGAGACAGAGAGAGAAATAGAAAGAAGAGTGATGAGCGAGAGAGACATAGAGAGATGAACGAGAGAGATAGAGAGAAGAGAGATGAGCGAGAGAGACAGAGAAAGATGAGAGATGAGAGAGATAGAGAGAAGAGAGATGAGCGAAAGAAACAAAGAGAGAAAAGAGATAAGAGACAAGATAGATAAGTAAGAGACACAGAGAGAGAGAAAGACAGATAGACAGACAGACAGACAGACAGACAGAGAAGAGTGATGATTAAGAGAGAGAGAGAGAGAGAGAAGAGGATGAAAAAATGGGTGAAAAGAGATAGTTAGAGAGAGAGAGAGAGAGAGAAATAGCGAAAAGAGATAAATGAGAGAGAGACAGAGAGAGATGAACGAGAGAGCGGAAGAGATAAAGAGAAGATAGACAGAGAGAGAAGAGAGATGAGAGAGATAGAGAGAAGAAAGATGGGCGAGAGACACAAAGAGAGAGACAGACAGAGAAGAGTGATGAGTGAGAGAGAGAAAGAGAAGAGAGACAGAGACACATAGAGAAAGAGAGAGACAGACAGACAGAGTAGAGTGATGAGTGAGAAAGAGAAAAAGAAGAGAGACAGAGACAGAGAGATAGGAAGATAAAAAAATGGGTGAAAAGAGAAATGTTCAAAAGACTAAGACGACGTCGTTTTTTTTTTTTTTTGTGACAGAAAAATACCGTTGCATTTATTTAAACCATTTTGTGACTATATATATATGAAGCCGTCTCAAAGCCACAATATATATATATATATATATATATATATTTACTTTTTTTTTTTTACAACGGTACCTATTACAGTCGCAAAAAACTTTTCTTTTTTTTTTGCAACTGCAGCTGATGTCGTCGCAAAAACTCTATTTTTTTGCGACAGCAATCTCTACCATCGCAAATACTTTTTTTTTTTTTTTTGCAACAACAATTTCTGCCGTCGCAAATACTCTCCTTTTTCGCGACAGCATTTTATGCCGTCATAAATACTCTATTTTTTGCGACAACAAGTTGTGCTGTCTCAAAAATCACATTTTTTGCCACGGCAAGTTATGCCATCGCAAAAAGTTTCGTCTTTTAAGCTCCCTTTTCTTAGAGTGAAAGGAAGGGGTACAACTTTCTTGAAAAAGATTGTACTCCATAAAACTTTCTTTAAAAAGAGTTGAGCCCCCTGCTAAGAGCATCTCTATCAAAATAGTCAAATTTTTAGTTAAATTTTAACTAAAAGTCTATTTTTTTTTTATTTTAGCTAATCATCTTTTCAAATGCATTCTCCAACAAAGTCTCTATTCTTTATTTCATTTGTTAAGTCATTTTTTCCCTAACTTCATGTAACTAGTGTTTTGTTATTCAATTAAAGTAATTAACTAATAATTGAGTTTGATAGAGTGTATTTTTATAATTTTGTATTATAAAATAACAAAGAGAAAGCTCTAATTGCTCTAAGGTTTTGGTTAAAGATTTTTTTTTATGAATAATGCTATATGCAGTAATTAGTGTACTAACTAGTGTATCAATTGATGATGTGGCATAATTTAAAAGGTCTTTGGTATTTGTAATGTGATTAATGAATAAGGTCAATAATAATGTCATAACTAGTGTTGGTATACTAGTTAGTATACTAATTGATGTATGTAGCACCACAGTTTTTTTATTGTTAAATCTCTTTGTCTATTTGTCCTAAAATATTTGTAGTTGTTAGATTCTGAAATTCTTTTGTATATATATATATAGGGTGTAAGCTCACTCGATAGGTGTGCTATTAAATTTGTAAAAGATAAATTTTGATTTTGAATTACAAATATTTATAGTGTTTATTGATCAAGTGATAAGAGGATTGTTTTCAAAGCCCAAGATTTTAGGTTCAAATCTTGTGCATTTCATTTTATAAATGTTTTTACCCTTTTTTTGATATAAAAAAATTTCACTTGGAAAAAGAAAAGAGTAAGCTCCAAGAAATTAAAGTGAATTGTTCACATATATAATAGCATAGATATAGATATATATCTCAAGAAATAATATAACAATTATAAATGAAAGACAAACAAATTTAAGACTCACTCACTTGTATTTATGAGCGGAAAAAAAAATTTATTAAACATGGGGTTTAATTTTGATAATATCTTAAATATTATGTGATAAATTATGATTTTTTAATATATATATATTTTTTATATTATTTGACACAAAATATTATCTTTTTAAAATATATGTTGTGTGATATATTTGTTATAAATATTATTTAAATAGAAATATTTTGAAAATTTTATTATTCATGATTTTGAAAAATTCGGCTGACCACTGTTCATCTTTTAATAAATTTGATATTGATGAGTTGTCTTCTTTTGATAAATTTGATTTTGGTGAGTTGATGTCTTTTGAAAAAATTTGATATACCCACATGGGTTAGTTGGTTATTTTTATTAAAATGTATTTAAAATATGTATAACAACTACAAAAATTTTAAAAAGATATATATTTTCATATCTATTATAAATGTTGTTTTAAAGTGATTTTACTATGCATACAAATATTTTAATAGAAATTTTACTGTGTATTTTAATATTTTAATAGAAAAGTTACTATGTAATCACTGTGTATTCATTGATTTTACGAGAATTGTTCTAAAATTTTTACCATCACTATTTATCGAAAACGATGTTTGTGCCAATTTTTTCAAACTTCTCATGGGCTCATGAATCTGAACGTGTGAATCTAAGCTACAATTTTTGAGAATAGAGAAGTCACTTGCGCCACGTGATAATAAGTAAAAAAGACGAGCGCTCCGTTGCTTCGTGATCCGAGAGAAGCGTATCTCTCCAACGGATATATTTTTGGATATATAAAGGAGTATTTTGTGTGGAGAAAAATTATGGCGTGAAGAAGAAAAAAACATGTGATATTGAAATATTCTCAAATATTGTATTGTCCTTCATTGAGTTGTATTTTCTGTGAGAAAATTTATTAAGTTTAAACAAAATTGTAAAAGAGTTTTCTATCCCTTATTCATATTATTCTTGTAAAAAAGTGAGTTTTTGTGAGTGAGTTTTTGAGATAAAATCACTTGGTTATGTGTGACAAGGCACGAGATTCAAAACTATTTGAGATATTTTTGTGAATGATTTTTGAGATAAAATTACTTGGTTAGGTGTGACTAGGTACCAAATTCTAAACTAGTCGAAGTGATCATGATTAGTCACTTGTTGTAAAGGTTCACTAGTGCCAGTGAAGCTAATTAGGAGTGTAAAAATGGCCCAAGGCCCGTGGGCGGCCCGAACCCAACCTGAAACCCTAGGCCATCACCCATGGGCCTGGCCCGTGGCCCGACCAACCGGCCTGCTTAAGGCCCACTTAGGGACATGCCCGCGCAGTGTCTTTTTTTAGTGAAAAATGATAAAATTTTGATAGAAAAATTATAAAAATAAAAAATAAAAAAAAAACTAAAAAATTTAGTTAGGCCCGCCCAAGCCCGAGCCCAAGCCCACCAACCTACCCAAGGCCCGAATATCCCTGGGCCTAATTTTTTGGCTCGTGAGCCGATTCGGTCTAGCCCGAATTTTGGCGAGAACCCACGAGGCCAGACATGGGCTGGGCTGGGCCAAATTTACACCCTTAAAGCTAGTGGTGTAATTAATATTTGAAGAATAGTGAAGAAATTTCTGTGAATGATACTTGGGGAATGGACGTAAGCTCGGCGTGCCGAACCACTATAAATCACGGTATTTGATTTTCTTTCTCTATCTCTTCTATTTTTATATTGATTATTTTTGCTCTATTATTTTATTTGTTGAAATTTGAATATTTTGATTATTATTTTTAATATTGTGAAATTATTTTTAATAACTCTTGGGATAACAAAGATAAATAATACGAAATTATATGTAACATTTTCCTCTCTGCTATGCTATAAAAACATACTTTCCATCTATTTGATGATTAGAATTGGGTTTGGCTTATCTTAAATTATCATCTTAACTTGAGAAAGTGTTTTGGCTTAGTAGACCTATTTTAAGATCAATTTCGATAATCTGAATTGTTCACTTTTAAGACTTGTTGAGTAGAATATTTATGTAAAAAATTAAGATAATTGGACATCGATAGGTATATGTTTGTTTTTAAAAAAATAGATGACAAATGTAATATTAAGAATAGTTATCCATTTTTTGTAATATAATGTGATTCAAACATAAAGTTACCAATGTTTGATCATGTTGATTTTTTTACATGAATATTTTACACAAAGAGTCTTAAAAAATGAACGGTTCGAATCACTAAAATCGATCCTAAAATAGACTTACCAAACTTAAACACCCTCTCAAATTGAGATGACCAATTTAAAAAAAAAAAAGGCCAAATTCCTTACAATTCATTCGTCACTCTTCATTTGAGAACAATTAATTAGAATTAATTTAAGGGAGCTTTTTTGATAAATCCATTTTCTAAGAGCTTTATTCCATCCAACCCATATTCTTTTTGACTATTCTATTAGGTCCAATTTGAGATAAGAAGACCAAAATACCCTTTTCATCTACTTATGTTCCACTTAGTTCACATTATTTTCTTATGTTTCAATAAGTCCTCATTACCAAAATACCCTTAATGTGAATGTTCACACCGTCAATATAAATGTTTATATCGTCAATGTGTAGGGGCTCGGCTCATGTCGATCCTCGTGGGTGCCCGGAAAAATTTGAGTCGGGCCGGGCCGGCCCACAAGCCAAAAAAATAGGCCCGACCCGTTGATAATATGAATATTCACATTGACAAGTGAACATTCACATTGATAGGAGTGTAAAATTGGCCTGCAGCCCGTGGGCGGACCGAAACCAGCCCGTCGCCCGGGGCGGGCCCGAGCCAGCCCGTTCACAATATGAATATTCACATTGACATATTAACATTAACATTAACATTGACAAGAGTGTAAAATTGGCCCATGACCCGTGGGCAGCCCGAAGCCCGGGCCCGGGTCCCATGGCAGTGGGAATGGGAGTGAGGAGTGAAGGTGGAGAGGGGTACAATGGAAGGATGACATCCTTTGTAGTGTTATGTTGCATGATAGCAGCCACTGGAGGTGTCATCTTCGGCTACGATATTGGAATTTCAGGTCTCTCTCTCTTTAATTTCTTCATTCCTCTTCTTTTTGGCTTCTCTTCTCTTCTTGAAATGAAAAATCAAGATTTCAAGGTTTCAAGATGTAAAATAACAGCTCTATTTATGGCTTTTCAGATTTTGATATGATTTCTTTTTCATTAACTATTCAAAAAAAAAAAAAAAATGTTATATATTAACCAATTGTTTAACAGATATCCTTATCATTAAAAGTAAAAGTAATAAGTCACATGTGTATTTATTTATTAGAGTTCCACTATGTTTATATTCAGTAATAAAAAAATTTAATGAAAAATTTATTTATCTGTAGCATTGCTTACCTATTACAAATTGGACTGAGAAGCATGTACTTGGACATGCAGCTTTTGACAAAGTATTTGGCTGGTGGGGTCATGTTTCAGTTACCTTACACAATCTCTAATAAAAATGTTAGAAGTGTAGTTTAAAGTGTACATGTAAAATAAAGCGAGCTCTAATTTTGTGTTAAAAGTTTATTAATTGAGTGAGAGCTAATTTTGTATGATAAGATTTGTTAATTTAGTTCCAATAGAGATGTTAAAATATATGTCGGTTTTAAAGTTTGTGTGAGAAAAGAGTAAGTATGCTTCAATATATATATATATGAGATAAAGTGGGGTCTAACTTTAGCTTTGCTTAATATTAATTAGCAATGATGAAAATAAAATGGTATACTCAAGTAGATTAATTCTCTATGAAAAGGCAAATTTTGTGATCATACTGCAGTTTACCCCTAAATAATCCGAATAAAATAATCATAGCATGCTTTTGGCCAGGGTGGACCAGCTTATATTTGTGTTCTAGCAAGAAACTTCTCTTAGTTTTTTTGTCAATTTTGTTGTAGTTTTTCTTTTTGTTTTCCAATCAAAATTTGGCCGTATATCGAGTATTGTTCTTATAATTGTTGTTATGGATGTAACTACCAAAGAAATGGTTAGAGCAAAACTTCGAAACATAGTTATTTATTTATTTTTTGAAATGCGAAGGTGGAGTGACCTCAATGGAGCCATTTCTGAAGAAATTTTTCCCAGAGGTGAATACTAAGATGAAAGAGGACACCGAGATTAGCAACTACTGCAAATTTGACAGCCAATTGTTGACCTCATTCACATCCTCCCTATATTTGGCTGGCCTCATCGCTTCCTTTTTTGCCTCACCAATCACTAAAGCTTTCGGACGCAAGCCATCAATCCTTGCAGGAGGGGCTGCATTCCTCACAGGTGCAGCTCTCGGTGGTGCTGCTTTTAATGTGTACATGCTAATAATTGGCCGCGTCTTGCTTGGCGTTGGGGTTGGCTTTGCAAACCAGGTATTTAGCTATTCTTTCCATTTTTTAGGATTAATTTTACTTTCTTTGTTCTTAGTTCGTCAAGTTAGCATCAACCCTACTAGTAGTTTTTTAAAATGTTTACTAGCTACTAAGAAAAAGAAAAATATTAATGTCAATTTCATTTGTTTTCTCACATTTTTTAGTTCATTTTATTTATATGAGCATCTTTTTTCTACTCTTATCAATGTGAATGTTAACATGTCAATTGTGATATTCACATTGTCAACGGGCCGGGCCGGGTCGGGCTTGCCCTGGGCTACTGGCCAATTTTATACTCTTATCAATGTGAATGTTAACATATCAATGTGAACATTCACATTGTCAACAGGCCGAGCCGGGCCCGCCCACGGGCCTTGGGCGGGTTTCGGGCAGTTACGAGGTGCGGGCTAATTTTACACTCCTATCAATGTGAATGTTAACATGTCAATGTGAATATTCACATTGTCAGCGGACCGGGCCGGGCCTGCCCCGGGCTGGGGGCGGGCTTTTGGCCGCCCATGGGCCGCGGTTCAATTTTATACTCTTACCAATGTGAATGTTAACATGTCAATGTGAATATTCACATTGTCAACGGGTCGGACCGGGCCCGCCCGGGGCCGCCCATGGGCCCCGGGCGGGTTTCGCGCCGCCACGGGACAGGGGCCAATTTTACACTCCTATTAATGTGAATTTTAACATGTCAATGTGAATATTCACATTGTCAAAGGGTCGGGCCCGCCCTGGCTCGCGGGCGGTTTTCGGGCCGCCCACGGGCCAATTAACATTCCTACAAATGTAAATTTTAAAATATGAATGTTCACATCATTAAATTGCTAATCGTTGAAAAAATATTTATAAGGGTATCAAAATTAAATGTAAGGGCATAAGTGTCCAAGAAAATAGTGTAAATCAAAAAAATGGACTTTATGGAAGAAAACTATACATACATGGGACTAAATGGGTTAAAAAATTCCTTCATGGACTTCTTGGGTTAAAACACTTCTAAATTGGACTTATCAATAAAAATCCCTTAATTTAACTATGTCTTAGATGTTTGCATCAAGGTTCTCTCATGGATTTTTTATTCATTATTTGTCTAATAATCTTGTTATGCTTTTTATCATTGTATATTAACTTAAAGCTTCTGAGAGGGTAATTTATATGAAAATTGGGCTGAGCTGGGTAATGGGCCGTTATGGGCCATAGTGCGAAGGGCTGAGTAAAAAGGCCATGAAGTTACTCCGGCCCAAGAGAGGTGTAAAGTTACCCCGATCCGTAAGAGGTGTAAAATTACTCCGATCCGCGAGAGACCTGAAGTTACTCCGGTCCCAAAGAGCTTACGGTAAGTTCGGTCGTCACTCACAAAGTTATCCCAGTTTGGACCGGAGTATTGGTTATTCCGGTCTAGACATACCGTGGTTAGCATTAAGAAGAGCCAAGGTAAGAGCAGTGAATGGAAGAGCCGAGCTAATGCTATCTCGGTCTAGTCTGCGGCTTAGCATAGTCATGCTTACCTCGGTCATGTTGAAGTCTGACCATGGTAGAACCATCTCACTTGGTTTATGCAATGAGGGGGGTGTTGAAGGATAAGCATTATCTTTCAGGAGTATGAATCCTAGGAGGACTCTACATAGAGGAGTAAAAGTCCTACTAGGATTGTGCCACGCGGAACCTATAAAAGCTTACAACATCACCTATGGGGAGGTAACGCACAACTTTGATTCTCGAATACACAGAGCTTTTGTCTATTTGTCTATTTTTGCTGACTTAGGCATCGGAGAGGTATTCGGCACACACCCGTCGGCTAGCTCACGTTTGTGTTTTCAGGGAGTAAAGCGACGTCGTACGGAGGAGCGCAAACTTGATCAACAGGATTACACGAGAAGGTTTATTTCTTTCCCGTACAGCTTCAAATTTAAATCATCTCTAAAATTGTTGGGTTAAGAGGCCCAAGATTGAATCTTTTTTGGGTTAAAAGGACATGCTATTAATTCAAAAGCTTATTTCCCAAAAAAAAAATTCAAAAGCTTAATTATCTGTTTATATGTTCAACTATTATCTATTTGTTCAAATGCACATATTTATAAACCTATCTGTCCAATTATTTATTCAAACACTATAACGTATAAAAGTTTTAGAGATCAAATGTTTTGGTTTCTAAAAGTGAAAATTTTGTTGTAAAAGATATTTAAGGACCAATTTCGATCGTCATGAAGATAGTAACTAAAAAGTCATCCCGAAAAGTCAAAAAATAAAACTTTAAGCGTGTAAAACCCAAGTTGTGTGTAGGATTATTTTATTGGATAGATTAGTAATTAAATTAATTTATATGGGTCATTTATTAATATCAAAGAATTAGTTATGAGATGGGTATTGTTATTAAAAGATAAAGCAGGTTGTTTAGCAATTTGACAAGATCAACATCTTTAACTAAAAGAGACATATCCTAAGTGACAATGCTAAAGGTGAAAAGAAGACATGACAAAAGTAAATGCAGTAGAGGAAGCAATGGGAGCAGTAATAAATGATTTGTGGAGAATGTGAAGATGGGTAAGCTCAAACAAACGTCCATGCTTACGGCCTATCCTAAGGATCTGTCTCATCTGAGGGTCCTGCACGAAACAACCATTGGCAGAAAAGGTAACAGTTGAACCAAGTTCACATAACTGACCAACAGAGATAAGGTTCAATTGAAAAACAGGAATGTGATAAGCATCAGAAAGAGACACAGTAGAAGTAGAAATTTAACCAATGTGATGAACAGTCATATGAGAACCATCAACAGTGTGTATGATGGGGACAAAAGATGATGATGATATAGAAAAAAACATAGTGGAGTCATAAGTCATATGATTTCAGCATGCGGAATCAAAATACCATAGAGAATTACCTGAAGTCACTGAAAGAGTAGTAAAAGGAGTTCCGGATTTGGTAAGCACCTGTTGGATGATAGACTCAACATCATCCATAGAGAAGGAATGAGTAGTGGAATCAGTGGAGTGGTGAGTAAAAGAACCCTCTGAGGCAACAACAGTAGAGCGAGAACCTTGGCCAGATTTGGATTAATACCTAGAACGAGAAGACCCTTTCCTGGATGAGGTATTAGAGGGGGCTCAAGGACAATTGCGTTGGAGATGACTAGAAGCAATCTTGTGGCAAGTAAAGCATTCACGAACTTGGCACTGAACAAAAGAATAAGTGGTTGGCAGGCCACAGTTGTGACAATATTGACATAAACTAGCAGGTTGTGAAGATGAAGAACTTTGTGATGATGGCGTAGCAAGAACAAAATCCATATTCTGAGATTTAATAGTCCCAAAATGAGTCTTCTCTGATAATAGTTCAGTAATGGCTTGCTCTAAAGTAGACAAAGGCAAACGATGGACCACTGAAGCATGCACAGGCTCAAAAGTGCTATAAAGAGCCATAAGGAACTGTAATAATCCCTAATAATTCCGATGAGTAATACACAGCTATGCATCCGTAGGATATGCCCATATAGTGTCATTACCCAAACCCGCCTTTATAGGTTTAGCGTCGTAACCTCTGAACAAATTATCACATATTAAGGGACTGCGGAAGTAAGTATATAAAACATATATAGTCCATTGAGCTGTGTTGACGTACATGGGACAAAATTTTCAAAAACTTATATATATACATATGGCGTCATAAATACGGTAGTCTTACGTCACCCATTCACACAAATAAAGTCAAAAGAGAACTTAGCCCAGTGTATAGATAAACAAAAAACTTGTTCATATACCAAAAGAAAACAAGTCTTATACATTTGCAAAACATGACCACATGACTTTCGGAACCTCCTCGGGAGGCACAAAGGTTAGCTGACAAAATAAAGCTCCAAGCGATCATCATTGAGCCTGGTCACACGTCTAATCACCTACATACATAATATAAATAGTGAGCGGAAGTTCAGTGAATAATAATAGAGTAAAGGGTTTTAATTGAATGATGTCCCATATCAAATTTAGAAATCAAAGTTCGTATCAGAAATAGATTCGTATTCATTTATAGAAATTAGAGTTCATTCTTAATCATACATGGTATATCCATTAGCGTTAACAGAACAGATACAGACAGATATAGAACAGATGGTGGTTATATATAACCAGTTCCATAAAGGAACCACCAGTTCCATAAAGGAACCTCCAGATCCAGGTAACATATGACAGATATGCTGAGCCCCATGATAAAGCCTCTGGTACGGGTAACAAATAACAAACATATTAAGTTCCACGATGGAACCTCCGATACCGGGTAATAGCTAACAAATATCACATGATGCTAAGGATGCCACAAGTACATTGTCAGAATTGGACAATCATTCATTGTACAGAACATACCATTTTAGAAAATAGATCTTATTTTATCATACAGAAAATAAATAAAGTTGAACATAGTTTTATTAAGTTATTACTCACAGATGGCTCCGAAAACAGACAGACAGAGCAGACAAATTAGATGGCTTACAGCGCGTGACCTACACAAACATAACAGATACACAAATTGAAACACACACTTAGATAGTACTTAACTTATTGCATCTCGTTCTTAGTGTGTTTCTATGTCTTATCCTCATTATTACGTCTTAATCGTGGCCCAAAAATGTCTAGGATGCAATAAGGATGCCAAAATGCACTTTGAAACACTTAACAAAATTTGCTGAAAATAGGGCTTCACTCGAGCGTAACTTTCCTCGCTCAAGTGGATGCTTAAAGATGTGAGTGGTCGCTCAAGCGCAACTTCGGTCGCTCGAGCGGTCTGTAAACCCTGCAAAAGTACTGGTTGCTTGATTTTTTCGCTCGACGCATGCTCATTGGTCACTCGAACGTAAAACTGATGTCTTCGCTTGTGTGCAATTCTTGTCGCTCGAGCGGTCTGTAAAATGTGTAAACTTCTGGAAGCATGCATTTTACATTTGAGCCAACTTTTGGTCGCTCGAGCAGAAGTGCAAAACAAATGGTGGTCGCTCGAGTGTAGGATCCATCGCTCGAGCAGAAAGGCAGAATTCTGGAATTTCTAGATTTGCTCCCAAGCTAAAAAAACTCGAATTCAAAACCTTAAAATGCAACCTTTGGGCCCCAAAACTTGACTAAACACTTTGAAACTTATAAAACATCATGAATTAAGGTTCATTACACAAAATCAAGGCTCAAAAGCAAGTGAATTCTTTAAAACCAAACTTGAATAATATGTATTCATAACATGCATGTGTTGTCAAGAACTTTAACCTTCAAAAACACGTACAAATGGAATGTTAAAGTGCAAAATCACAATGAGCTCCCATAATTGAACAAAAATAGGTCCTTGCATGTGAGAATTTGTTGAAATCAAAACTCAAAATCCATGAAATGCCCATACATGTATGAAATGTTCATCTTATCTACTTTACTAGCTCAATTCTTGCATAATTCAACTTAATCCCCTAGAATTCATGTTCTAGACATCATACTTATATAATCTAAGTGTTGAATCCTTACCTCAACTTCTCAATTAAGCTCTAGTTGGTGAATTCACTAAGGCTCCAAACCAATACCCTTGAATTCTCTAGCAATTTCTTCCAAGCTCAAATTTTGATCTCAACCCTCTTGGTCTCCTCTTCCTCTCTCTCACGTTTGTCTCTTGTAGGCTCAAAGATGATGAGGAAAAGATGACTCAAGTGGTGTGTATAGGCCTTATATAGGCTTGCTTAGAGAATTAATTAAACTTAACTTAAGCTAAGCAAATTGACATTAACTATTCTAATTTAATTAGTTCCGAATCGAATTTCAATCAACCTTACTATAAAATTCTAAACATTCCAAATAACACATAAATCAAGTCAATTTCTTGATCGGATGTCGATAAGCCTTCAATTAGCAGAACAAAACAGAAACACAAACAGATATTCCTACAGCAGACAGATATAAACACAAATAATGTCATATACATGCAATTAATTTAGAATTTCATCTTAATTACTCATTAGGCATAATTAATCATGATTTATCGCCTAATCATAGGTCGGGGTTGTTACATGTAGGCTCAGAAAGAGCTAGTTGGTCCCAAACAGACGACATCTAGGATAAAAATTCATTGATAGACTGACCGAGTGCTTGGCACATGTGATGAAGAGTTTGCAACAATTGATATTGATGAGCATAGCCAGTGGTTTGATAACGGTCCCTTAAGAAATCCTAAATTGCTTTGGCAGGAGAAGCAATTTGAGCATCATCCTGGAACCGGCCAAACTGGAGATGAATTGAGGGAACTGAGGTAGCCCAAAACCATGTGATAATTTGATAATTCTTACTTTCCCATTTGTCAAGACAACCATCGAATGCAGAGTTAGTCTTATCCTCCTTCTGGTTGGGTTTGGGAAGAGCACCAATAATGATGCGCCAAAGGCGTTTCCCTTTGATGAAGCTAGAGAGAGCTTGGGCCCAACTAACATAATTTGACCCATCAAGGATGACAAAAACAGAGTGGATGTGCTTGGTACGATCCATAATGCTCAAACAATGCAAAAAAGAAGAAGATGGTGCTTTTTAGAGGCTGATTTTGCCAAAACAGAACACACTAGTGGATTCAAGAGGTCGAAAATAGGTGGAATAGGGTCTGAATGGGCCAAAAACACGACCAGAAAGGCAGCAAAGCTGCTGGTCAAAGTTGTTTGACCAAAAAAGGAGTACCAACACTAGGGCTGACGTCACAACAAGGAGGGCTGACATCAGAAACGCATGGCGCACGTTAGCAAAGGTGCGCGCAGCGCATGATAGCAAGAAACAGCTGCGGCACACAGTCAACCAAGGCTGACGTCAGCGATGACGTTAGAACATGCGGCTCACATTAGCAAGAAGCAGCAATAGCGCACAGTTAACTAGGGCTAACGTTAGCGATGACATCATAACACGCGGCTCACGTTAGCAAGTGAGGCCACGGCGCAAGATAGCTCATGATTGGAGCAGAGGCGCGTGAATGTGTGTAGAAGACAGCACAACGCATGCCTGATCTTCTGGCGGCGGGTTTGGCGGCGCGTGGAGACGATTCGGATGGCATCGGCTTCGTCTTGAAGAGACAAAGATGATTGTATAGGCCAATCATTGAAACAGGAAAGGACGAGATACGCAAAAACCAGCGTGAGAATGAATCAATCAGCCAGAGAAGAAAGAAAGAGAAAAAAAAAAGGTAATGAAGACGAAGAGGAGGCTAGAAGAAAATCCTAGGCTCTGATACCATGTTAGAATAGTAGAGAGAGGGGAAAATATTATGTATTTTATATATTCAATCTATCAATTACAATAGGAGAAGCCTATATATATAGGCCAAGAAACCTAGGTGCATAGGAAACCTAGGCGTACAAGAATACAAGAGTCCTAAGTATAATAGGAATACATAATAACTAACAACTCCAAAAGCTAGCATTGCAATAGACTGATTTATTTATTTATTTATTTTTGCAGGGGGTTACAACGGCAGCCAATAAAACACTAAACATGAACTCACCTAAGAATGCCCCAATCAGAGGTATCCCAAATCATTCAAAGCACACGAATATGCCCCTTTAGTCATTTGTTCCTTTTTAACCAAAAAAGCTGAATAATATCATGTATTCTCCATTATCATGTGCATGTATGTGTGGAATAGCATGTTTTCAAGGTTGTCTTTATACATAAAATGATGATTTCTAGATAGCCAAATCGAGGGAATGAAACTAAGGTCTCAAGTGTGTTAAATACAGCACAATGAAAGATTCAACGGAGGATTCAAAAACTACGACATATAGAAAGTAATTGAGTTCCACCAAAGCAAAGTTAATTTTTGTCAATGCACATTATTATTTCTCCACATCAGAATATCGCCAAAAATAAAATTGAATTATATTTTTGTTAACAACTATAGAGAGGGAAGAAGTTTATGACTCAAAACTTGTTACGTTTATGTAAAACCCAAGTTATATGTAGAATTATTTTTGGATAAGGTAGTAGTTAAATTAATTTGTACGGGTAATTTAATAATTTTAAGAAATTAGGTTAATAACCCTTCATGTAAAAGAAGAAAAACAAAAGAAAAAAAAGAAGAAAAGAAAACAGAGCCTCGTGAAAGTGCTGCGGAAGGTTTGGAGGCTGCTGCTCAAGGGTTTTGAAAAGTAGAAGAAAACAAAAAAAATAATAATAAAAAAGAGAGAAGAGGGAGGATTCATAGAGTGGTGGTTTTGCTTTATTCATCACTTAAGTAAGATTTATTTTATTGTATTTTTATCTATGAATTTAGTGTGAATATATCATTAGATGATTTTTTTGGGCATATATGATTATATAAATATATTGAAATAGTCTATATTGGGGGTGTCGGTTTGCCCGACTTGAGAGTGTATTTTTTTGCATTCCGTTTGGATGGCTCATATTTTATGATTGATATGTGATAAGTTAAGGTTAATGGTGGTGTAATTTTGGGATGCAAGTTTGACTGGTAATAATTAAAAATTATGTATGTTTATAAACAACAATAGAATAATGTAAGTTTTGAAAAAATTGTTCAAGCCCTAGTGGCTCTGTTTCGGTGCTGAGGTTTGGGAATTACTGATAGACTATAGGATTAGCTTTTTCTATCATAAATAAAAGAATGATGGATGCATTATGGTGATCAATAATAATTGTTTATGTTGTGTAATATTTTATTAGGTTTGTGAGATTGAGGTGGATCTTGGTAATTTTAGATTAGCTTGGGAAATATTTTTTTTTTTAAGCGTTTGAGGTAAGTAACCTTCTATCCCTGTTGGTTCATTTTTATTCCTATTGAATCATTTAAAATTAGAAATATTTATTTATAACCTTTATGTTCTCTTAAAATAAAATATGGGTCAAGTATAAAACAACATCGAATATTATTATGAAAGTTATTTGAATATTTTGTGAAACTATTTTGAAAATTGTACCAAATGTTTATTCTGAAAATATCGAATATTTTATTTAAAAGTTGTGTATTGTTTGAATGCAGAACATCACTCTAGTCTGACTATGATTTGGACCCTAGCCAATGGGGGTTATTTATTGGCACAGAAACTAGTTTCTTTCGGGGCTTTACCACCGGCCTATGTGTGGTTTTGGGCCTTGTCACGGGCTAGTGACCGTAGTCACCAAAACTTGGGTTTTGTGAATTGCATCATTGAACCATTTGAATATCGAACCATCAATTTTGAACAACGAAATTTCATCGAATTACCTCATTGTCTTTTCAATTAAAATGTATTGCTACACTGTTTATTTTCAGCTACGAAACCATCTTACAAAATAATTGTTCATTTATTGAATGGTAGCGCAAATATATATATTGGTTATCCACTATTTTTTTTGTATACTTGATCCAACTAGCAGTGATTGTTGGTTATTTACTGGGCTGTCTAGCTTACCATTATTTTATTTTATTTTATTTTTCAGATTATGAGGAGTAGAGCTACGCGGGATTTTTACTTGTGGGAGTGCCGAGAGTAGGACTATGATTTAAGTACTTGGGTTATTATTTTGTTAGTGGATTATATTAGTAGGCTTGGTGGACAATTTCATATGATAAGAATTATTTATTTTTATGGAGTTTAGCATTATGATAATTAAGGATTTAATGTGAGTATTTTACATTGTGGGTTATGTGATTGGACTCATAGCCTTGCATGCTCACTTAAATGAGTGTGCAGCGTTATCACGGAGCTTGGGGCGTGACAAAGCGACAAATTTTGAAAATGTCACTAATAAATAGACTTTTAGAGACAAAATAATTTGGTCTCAAAATGATTTATTTTTTGAGACAAAAAATTTGATCCCAAAAAGATAATAATTCATCACTAATGTCTAATTTTTGTTACTAAAAATATAATAATGACACTTTTTGTAACAAAAATATTTGATTCCTAAAAAATAATTTTATCCTTAAATTTTAGTTTCTAAAACCTCTATTTTTTTGTCGTGAAATCTATGCATATATCACATATTTGTGTAACTATGTGTATATGTACCACCGATCTATTCACATATCTTTTCAAATAACACACATTTGTTTAATTTAATGTCATCTGGTGGTGACGTTAGCCACCGTCACCGATAACTTTTTCGATCAATTTTTTAACATAGACAACTTTTAAACGTGTATCCTTTTTATCAAATAAGATTAATCATTTGACTTAGTTAGGGATGGCAATTTGAACCCGACCCGACGGGGACCCGATCCCCCGACCTCGATTATGATGGTTTTTCCCCGAAAAATACCCCCGTGAGGACGGGGATGGTATTCGAAATTAAATCCCCGACCAGTTTCAGGCCGGGGACGGTGATCAATGTTCAAGCCCCGGCCCGTCCCTGTCCTCGGCCCGAAAATTTCCCGAAGTAAAATTACTATTTTACCCCCTCTTTATATAGACATATAAACCCCCATTTTCTTTACAACACTGTGCACCTCCTCACACACTCATCACTGCACTGTCTCTCATCTCTCTCTCTCAAACCCTCATCCTCTCCCTCCTCTCCGATCGCCCTCATTTCCCTCCTCCGCGGATCGCCCTCATCCTCTCCCTCCTCCGCCGATCACCCTCCTCCACCGATCTCCCTCCTCTCCCTCGTCCGCCGATCGCCCTCCTCTCCCCCCTCCGCCGATCGCCCTCTCCCTCCCCCGCCGATTGAGCCACCACAACTCCACCACTGTTTGTGGCAGTCCGGCAACTCCACCACTGTTTTCCTCTCTCTCTCTCTCGATCGATCGATTTGTTATATATATATATATATGTTAGATCTGATTTTTTTTTTTTTAGCTCATCAGATTGTTGTTGTTGTTGATGTTAGATCTGATTGTTGTTGTTGTTGAAGAAATTATGGAACTGATTTTTTTTTTTTTCTTTTGGTCGGGGACTTTTCGGGGTCGGGGAAACCCGATCCCTGTTAAAGGGCAGGGCGGGGGCAGTGATGAGCTCCCCGTCGGGGTCGGGACCGGGGACAGAGGGGGGTTTCCACCATCAGGGATCGGGGACGGGGAGGGCGATCCCCGGCCCCGCCCCGCCCCGTTGCCATTCCTAGACTTAATATCTAATGCATCCCTCAATTTAGGAATGATTTAGCATCCCCTAAATAATTCATTTATTTATCTTATTTAGCATCCCCTAAATAATTCATTTATTTATCTTTTTTTCATCATATCACCTCTCTACTTTTCTGCATATCTTTTCGTAAAAAGTCAAAAAGTACACTTATTTAGATCATTCCAAACAACCTCTTAAATTAATTGATAATTTTT